GCATATGTGTTTATTTTTTGGTATATTAGTATATTTATTTAATTTTATTACTTGTGTTATATAATAGAAAGGTAAATGCTCAATTCAATGGGTACCCATTTGTAATCTATCTTAACTCTCTTAATTAAAATGAGGGGAAATTTGGAGGTCGGTCCCTCTATGTGGACTTTTTTGGAGATAAGTTCGACAAGAAAATTTATTTAACTTTAAGTTCACATTTCTTCAAGTTTACTATCTTACCCCTACCCTTTGGAAAAGGCATAATAGACGTCTGCCTTGACCGTCTTCTACACAGACGGACAAAACCCCTTCAGGGACATACACTCATGCATAATAGGCTTCAAATCCGACAATAACTGTCCAAGCAGCAAAGTTTTCTTCTCCGAAAACTAATAATCGGCATTACCCAAACCAGTTACATTCAAAATTTAAACCGGTTTCATTCTACAGAGTAAAATTACGATTTTACTCTTGAAGATTATTGTGGACTCCATTGGCGAAGTTACAATTAATTTCTCTGCATTCAAAACATCTTCACAAGCTTTGGGATTCATAAAAAGATTTAAAGGTAAGTGATTTTACACTATCTTGATGTTTATTTTAGGGTTTTAAGAAAACCTGTACATGATTTATTGTTCAAACGGTCAACTGGTTTTTTTTTGGTATTCATAACAATAAAATTGAGATTTCCATGTTACTAAATTAAAGTGTTAAAAATTTAAAGTTATTTTGATTTTACACTATCTTGATGTTTATTTTAGGGTTTTAAAAAAACTTGTACATGATTTATTGTTCAAACTGTCAACTGATTTTTTTTTTTGGCATTCATAACAATAAAATTGAGATTTCCTTGTTACTATATTAAAGTGTTATGTATTTTGATTTTTTTGTTTTGTCTTTGTGTAAGACATTGAAATTTCTTGGTTGTGTGTCTGTGAAATATATCATGTTATTGTGTGAGGACTTGAAAAATGTATCTCATAATATCGATATCTTGATGTTCTTGATTGGTTCTAAGTGTCCTAATTTAACTATCGATGGTGTGTTACTATTAAAAATTCTGTAAATATTCAATTTGTGGATTGTATTTTCACTATAATCTTATGAGAATTGATGTTACTGTGAATACCATATAGCTTTGTAGTTTGTGAAAGTCGATGTGTTACTCAGTACAAAACTTTGGTGTTATTATAAAAGTTAAAAGTGTATGTTACATGATGTACGTCTAAAATGTTTGCAATTGGTAGTGAAAAGTGAAAATTGAGGTTGAGTTTTGTTACTATTTGGGTTCCTTAAAACAATCCCATTTTCATTTGTTGTGTTATTGTGGAAAGAACATGAATACAGGTTATGGTGGACCGATACACTTTGATGCAGCCTAATTTGTTTCCAAACTTTTGATGGGGTTATTGTTTGCTTTAAAGTGTTGATTGGGAATGAGTTTTTTTTTTCAACAACTGAAAATGATGTTCATGAACTAGTGTTATCATGATATCACAAGAGTACTCAACAGTTTAAGTTACTTTAGGACAATGTTATGTATAGTGTAATCTTCAAACCATAAAATTGTAACATACATGCACACAAAATTGTGTTTGTCTGATGTTATTGAAGATGATGTTACTGAGATTTAGTTAAAAATTAATGTTACTAACTTGATGTTACTATGTTTGCACCTTGTAATTTGGTGGAACTATTCATGTTACTTTTGCACAAAATTTTTAATAATTTGTTTATATCCATTACGCTTGGTATCATGTTACTATATGCTATGTGTTACTATTTCGTATTAAAAATTCGAATTTAAATTTGAATTGATAAGGAAAACTTGTGATCTGAATTACGTCCATCAAGTTTCTATATATAGCTAGCAGAGTATATACATTCCATATATTCTTCAGTTAATTATCAAGATTTTTAATGAAAAATGATTTCCATATATAACTCAAACTAAGGTTTTCATATATACCTTAAAAATCTAACTTATTAGACTTTCTATAACTTGACAAAATTAATACCGTTAAGGGTAATATTAAGATTTTAAAAAAAAGTGGACTTAAGTACTTACATATAAGTTTAAGCACAGACTTAGACTCCAATAAGTTTCCTTACCAGACTTATCTCCAAACAAGTCTATCTAGGGGGACTCACCCTCAATTTTCACTAAAATGAATCATATTATCCAACCTATTTAGAGCCGCATTAATTAATATAAGTATTCAATCCATTTATTTTTGAGCTGATTAGACAAATTAATGGATAATGAGTTAAAATTATCATCTCTAGTACATACCCTTTGACAATCTCTAAAGAGAGAGCTTCGACTATCCCAGTTCAATGTCTTTCTTGCATAACACTTGGAGGTGGTTCTCGTCAACAATGGTATCATTGATGACCCAGGTGAAGCTTTAATAGTGTTAGAATTATAAGGTTTTTATAAGTTTTAATAGTGTTAGAATTATAAGGTTTTTAGAAGTCTTATGCCCAAAAAAATGTCTCATTTGGCATTACTTGGATACAAGAGTTCTGTTTTCCTTTATTGTAGACCACTTTGGAGTCATTTGTGTGTTGCAATTTATTTCATTCTTTGATTTTACGATTTCTTACGATTTTATTTCATTTCTTTCTTGAATCTTGATCAATTTTTTTTTCTTTTTTTTTGTGATTATCATGTGCTTGATTATATATCTTTGAGGGCCTATAGAAATAATACCATTGAATTCCTGCCCTTGTTCACCAATAAGATCTTCCGAATTCATAAACTGTTTCCCAAATACGACGAATAAATTTTTAATATGGTCATTTCTCTTGATCGATTGAGTACATAAAATATAGCTTTCTCTTTTCCATCTTAGAAAAAATTATGGGATCAATGTTGAGATTTCAATAGTTGTTTTTTGGCAACTTATGATGACATTTCATGAAAATGAGAGGTACAAACTTTCAACAAATGTGGTAGAAAAATTTCCTATGCTCCCCTTCAATATGCTTTTTTTTTTTTTTTTGATCACAAACAAAATTTTCATTCTATTCATGAAAAGAGTAATTACAATCTTTTGATAAAATATCAGCTAACTCTTTTGGCTGGTCATCTGCCCAAGATAATGGTAGATTTTGAGATAGACAAGCATTTGCCACTCAATGGGCCACATTATTAAAAGCTCTAGGTAGACACACCAAACATATATAAATTTTTCAGCTATCAAATCACTTGATTGCAATGTCATATGATTTTTCTAATCAGGCTGGTATGAAAAGTTTTACTTATTTTGAGAATGAGTGATCTATTGGAATACTCAATCAGAAGCTAGCTCCTTTTCTATTTTTTGGCAGTCTGTCGATGGATCGGATTTGAATCGAATATTAGTTAATTCAAATTTGAATCTAACTAAAAAATTCGATTTTGAATTCGATCCGATAGTCCGACAGACTTTAAACTTCCATTCTATATTCGAATTTGTTAATAATCAGACATCCGATTTGATAATTCGGTCTGATCCAAATAAGTTGAATTCCAACAATATTTACCAATTAACCAACAATTTCAACACGATAAATGAATTTCTAATTAATTTAGTTAATCAATAACTCAATGCAAATATATTAAGCACTGGCTTAGTGATGTGATTTTTTTACTTAGCTTATAATATATAGAGATTATATATAATATGTCTAATATATATATTAGGTCGGATCAAATTTTTAATGGATCAGATTATTACATATCCAAATCCGAATCCATTTAAAAATTCTAAACAAATTCAGATTCGGATTAAAATTTTAATCCATATCTACTTAAACAGATTTAAATTCATATGAACTCGGATTAAAATTCGATCCAATGACAAACTTATTTCACAGTATCTTAAAAAACCCCCCCACAATGCATCAAATACTATTCTTTCAAAAAAAGTAAGAACTAAGAATCTCTCCCAATGTCATAAAGCACCAAGTTTTAGTGCGTATCAACTACAATTGATTCTTGAGGTTAATGTGATCCTCCTTGTCATCCATGTTTCATTTACTATTTGTTAATACTACTATTATCTAGTTTAATTGATTTAAAAATTCTTTATTTTTATATAAAAGCAAAAAATGGCATATATAAGTGGGGTGGATAAAGACACTTAGTCAGTATCTAACACTTTTTTAGTTATATACGAGAGTAATGCTAGATGAATTTAAAACTTGAATTTTAATAATTTTTATAAGCCAAAAGAGACCAAAGTTGAGAAATTGTACCTATCAATTACATGCACCGTACATTTGATTATTTCAAATTCTTGTTAAATAAACATTTCAATAGAATGACATACATGATGATTTCTAACTAATTCGATTAGTCCGTGTAACATTTCTTCTAATTTTTTCAGAATTCCTTTGATACTATAAGATTATTTTTGGTTAGGGTTAATAGCACTTTTAGTCTAAAGTATAACTATTTTATCAATTTGATTCTCATTGTATTAATTTTATCAATTTGGTTTTTAAAGTTTTAGTCTGTGTCTATTTTCGGTCACTAATCAAATAATTCGGTAAGGTTTTTTAACGGAAGTAACCACATATCATTCTTTCAGACAGTATCATGTACTCAACACGTAATCATTCTGTAAAAACTTAACGGTCCATCAATATAGAGATTATTTAAACACAAATTGAATATTTTAGGGATCAAATTAACAATATTGATATTTTAAAGATCAAATTGACAAAAATGTGTACTTTAAGGACCAAAAATACTATTAACCCTTTGTTTAACTATTTTTTTCTTACATTTCTATTGTATAAACATACATGAATTAATACTCAAATAAAAGTGAAAATGATGGATGCTCACGTGTATATCAACTAATATATATGCATATATATATATATATACAACGTGGGCCTCGTTTACTCATTCATTTACAGCTTTTTTGGAAAATCAAGCAACGCATTAATTGTCTGATCTGTTCATAGTTTCATCTTCTTGGGGGTAGGAGGTGAAGTGGGTTTTGGCCATGGATTTGGAATGGGTGTTGGAGTTCTTGAAGGGCATGTTGAAGCCAGCTTTGGCTCTTTCGGTGGCGGTTATGGCTGCGATTTTGTCATACATGCATAAGTTGGGGTTGGGTGGTGAATTGGTTTATTCATTCTCCAGAGCTTTTCTTCAACTTTCTGTTATTGGGTTTGTTCTTCAGTTCATTTTCTCCCACAAGAACACTGGCTGGATTATCCTCGCTTACCTTTTCATGGTATGTTTCTCTTCTCTATCTTTGATTACTGACAAACTAGATAGAAATAGAATGAACTTATGAATCTTATTGTTAAAAAGTTTGGTTTGGTTTGTTTTAGTTTCATGGTTCAGTTGAATTTAACCAAACATTGGTACAACGGACTTAACCGGGTGGTGATTTGGGAGGGGTTTGAAACCAGCTCTCCCTTATTGTTATGAATTTTCCCCATTCCAACAAGCATCCAAATTGGACTTTTTACTTTTTCTTGACTTTTATGTTTTGGGTTATTCCTCTCATGGTTTTGCTTGGTTGAAAATCAGTTTTTTCGGTATTGACTGCCAACGTTGGATTATGGTGTAGAGATAGATGGACATGAATTTTAGAGAATTCGTTGATGATTAAGAACCAGGGTAAAAGGTACCTGTTTTGCTATTGGACTTAAATTTCTACTGTTCACTTGCATGTTACCTTTTCACTTGTCTTCTCCATGTTTTCAATTTCTCAAAGATTCTCTTATCTTTGAGTAAGAGTGGCAATTTCCGATACAACACAAAAATATGATTTTAAATTGATACGAAATTAGCGGGTTAGGATTTTTCATTTCTCGATACGAACTCATATATGACGTGACCCGTTAACACGAATAATACAATACACGAGTTGGGTTAGAGTCAAACAAGAACAACACAAATTATTATATTTATTAAGTTAATTGTTAGTTTATAAAAAAAAGCATAAGCATATGTTCGATTAAGTGATAATAAATTTTAGATAAAAAATTAAATATTAAAGTTGATTAGTAATCGATACAAACCCGAAATAATACCACCACCGGAGAGACAATTGCCACCCCTATTGACTTTGGGTTGCCTGTACTGATCCCCATTTCAGTTTTGACCAGTTAGCTGAATCTGAATTTGCACTGCTTTAACCAATTACTTGCCCCTATTTTGAAACCAAATCTGATAAAGTCATGAAAATAAAAGTCCTTGATAGGGACTTTTGGAGCTTGAGTATTTCACGAGAGAAGGAGAAAGTAGCAGAACTTTTGGACTAACACAAGGATTCATGATTACTTATTTGGAGCTCATTTCAGTACGATTTCTGCGATATTCCGCGAAAAAAAAAGAGAAAAGGATCCAGAGTTATTGTAGAAGTGCCACATAGTAAAATTTGAAGAAAGGCGGAAAATGATTATAGCCATGTTTGAAAATGGAGTAACCAACTAGGAATTAGAGCATCTCCAACCTTAACTCAAAGAGTTAAAAAAGCTTAAAAACTTTCTCCAACATTTGATTCAAACTTATACCAAATCAAAAGAGATTCAATTTTTTTATTCAAATCAAGAGAGACTCAAATATTTACCAAAATATTTAATTGTGAGATTTCACCATCTTTTAAAGATTCAATAGTCATCTTTATTCTTTTTAAATTTGAGTTTTTCCTTATTTAAATTTGAGTTTGTCCATTGACCTTTTGTATCAAATCAAACTTTTTACTCAAATGTTAATTTAGATTTGAGTAAAAATTTGAGTCATGGGTTAGAAATACTCTTACTAGTAGGTAACTGTCGATAGGAGCAAAACTGTCGAATATGGTGACTAAATAAAAGGCAACCAACGAAGAAGAGAGGGACACACTCAAACCCCCTAAAGACCCATGATATGGGCATTATTAGGAGTAGGTTTTCGGATAGTTTCGGAGATAGCTGGGGGCTTCATCCTTGAGTCCGATCATGATTGTGCACTTGACGAAAGAGCTTTATAAGAAGCATTGCCTTTCTTCACACACGCGATATTGCTGGATTAGGTTTCACCCGTTGTCCAAGATTCCCCACTGCTGCGCCCCTTAGTTGTTAGTGTTGTAATTAAGGCTATTTTATTTAGTCTTTTGTAGCTGAAGTCCTTTCAATTGAACTAATAAAAGAATAATCTTTTATTAGTTCTTTGCTATTCCATTTTGTCTTTGCACAGTGTGATTTTTCTTTATTTTTCATCCAAGAAAGTCATTAACGAAGGCATCTGAATCCATTTAAAATAGTCGCCTACTAACTCTCTATCGATTGAGTCATTTTTGTCGATTGTAATAGATTTTGGAGCAACAATTTTTTAGCACGCTCAGTGTGACAACATTACTAACTTGGATTAAGAAAATGGTTTGAATAAAGAAGCAAAACGAGATTGTATTTGGCACATAAAGAAATAAAAATATGGAAATAATGTCAAACAGTGGCAAACATGAAGCAAGTTCAAGTGCCAACTTAGTGGAATTTGCAAATCTGAAAAATAACCAGTTTAGTGGCAAAAATAATGTGCAGATATAAGAATTTGTGCAAAATCTGAAACATGTATTGCATAATCCTAATTCTGACATAACACAAGACTTAGAGTGTCTAGACACCAATGCTATGACCAATTAACCAAAAAATAATCATCATTATTAAAAATCAAAAAATGGAAGAAGAAAACACCAAACCTATGGTGCTTCCCATGGAAAACCAAAGGTCACCATCAATGGTAACCAACAAAAGATCAGGACCATTGCACCAGAATCACTTAAATACGTTGATCGATGGGGAACTTGTTAAGTGTTCCCTAATTTCTTCACAGGTTGAAATCTTAGGGGATAAATGGGACAATGATGACCCCTGAATTCCCTAGAAGGGTTCAGGACACAAATGTTATGCTTCCCTTAGAACCAATAGAGAAATTTGTTCAGGACACAAATGTTATGCTTCCCTTAGAACCAATAGAGAAATTTAACCCAAGGCCACGGGGCATAATTAAAGATTCACTTTTAAGTGTAGAGAAGTTAGAAATAATGAGAACTTGAAAATGAAACTATTCCACAATCTTTGACTAAAATAGCCTTTGCTTGTTTCATAAATTTGCCTGCCAATTCAATTCAAATTTGACAACAAATAGAAGAGCAGTTTCATGCTCAATTATTTAGGAATAAACCAGAGGTTTCACCAGCAGATCTGTCAAAATTAAGGCAGAAATTAAATGAATTTGTAGAACAATATATTGACAGATTCAAAAAAGGCATAAACAAATTTTATATTTACTTGCCTGAACTTGAATTGGTTAAACTAGCCCAGAATGGTTTGAACTTCGAATTAAGATAGAAATTCGAAAGAATGAAGTTTAGAGATTTCTTTGTACTTTTAGTCAGATCTACCAAATATGAGATGTTACTCAGAAAAGAGCAATAAAGGAAAAATAGTTTATTTGAGACTTATTTTTAAGAGTTCGATAGATAAGTTGAAATCGATGTAACACAGGTTATGGGAAAGTCACCAGCATCGTCACTCACACCACAAAACAATTTGCACATCACAACCATCCAGACTCCCACTGTATCTCCACCTGCCTGTCCTCTAGGTGCAACTTTAGTGGATCAATTCAAATTCAATTCGAGTTTAATTTAAAATATATTATCTTTTTGGACAAAGATTTGTAGTGCATGGATTAAGTTTGAAAAAAGAAAAAACCTGATTTGATCTAAATTCATATAATACTCAAATTGGCGTATCGAGTTATTGAGAACCAATTTGAATCCAACATAAAAATGAATTTATATTTCAAACAAGTTAAATCAAAACTTTAGTTTAGGTTGTGTAGCCATAGAATCAAATTTGAATATAAACTGAGTTAAACATTAAATTAAATTTGAATTTTAGCTCGATTTGTTTAACATAAAAATCAAACCTAAATTGAACACGAATTGTGTAACATTTGGCAGTATACAACGTATTCACAATAAGAAAAAAAAAAAATCCAAATATAATATTAGAAAATATTTTTTTTTATCTTATATTTTATTTTTTATTTGATAAAAATGTGGTTTATAATTTTTTTGTTATTTTTTTAATTAATATTATAAATTATTTAAATTAAAAGTAATGACTTTAAATCAATTTCAACAGGATACTAGAGCCATAGTGTAGATTTATTTCAACAAAAATATATAAGTATTTTCCATTTTGTCGTCGATACAAATTTCTTTTAATAAGTTTTTTCTTCAACTCTTTTTTAGGATTATTTATTATTAATAAGTGAGAAACCTACGGGTCTGAATCAGGTAGAAAAAATTAGAAGTAAGTCATACTATTTCACCAAAAGAGCCATTATTAAGTCCTATCAAGTCTATCTTATGACAATTAAATCCTAATTTTGATAACTTATTCCCCATAGTCCTAAACTCTATGAATAGTATATTTTCTTCCAATTTTATTATTCCCATCAACACACCAATTATAATTTTATAAATAATATGTGTTATTACAATTACATAAATTAGCAGTATAAAAAATAATCTATGAATACAATCATTGAGAAAAGCTTATTTAATTACACTTTTTTTT